ATCATCATCATCATCATCATCATCATCATCGCGGGACACCGCGGGACACCGCGGGACACCGGCGGGACACCGCGGGGCACCGCGGGACACCGCGGGACACCGCGGGACACCGGCGGGACACCGCGGGCCCCCGGCCGCCCGGAAGGAAGTCATTTGGTCCGGCCGCGCCTCAGGCACAGGGGACTTTCGCGGGACACTGGCGGGACACCGCGGGCCCCCGGCCGCCCGGAAGGGAGTCATTTGGTCCGGCCGCGCCTCAGCCACAGGAGACTTTCCTTTCGCCCGCCCACGCAGCTTCGCCTCGCCCGCACGCACGGCACGCACGAACACGAAACCGAAATCGATTTCCCGGTAGGGGGGCTCTCCGTTTCACTTCGATCTCACCCCCTCACCTCCGATACCTATACGACCACCCTTCGGGTGATAAGGAGGTTCGGGGGGGGCGGGGGGAACCAACGTCTCACTCGATCGGTCTCACTATCGATCTCAGTATCGATCTCACTATCGGTCTCGCTCGATCGATATCGCTCGATCGATCTCACAATCGATCTCACTCGATCTATCTCATTCGATCAATCTCACAATTAATCTCACAATCGATCTCACAATCGATCACACAATCGATCTCGCATCCGGTCTCAATATCGATCTCACTATCGATATCACAATCGCTTTCATAATCAACGTCATCATCATCATCAACATCATCACCATCAACATCATCACCAACATCGTCATCATCATGAGGGCACCGTCATCATCATCATAAACATCATCATCAACGTCAGCATCATCATCCGGACAACATCACCATCATCATCATCATCACATCATCAACATCATCATCATCATTGGGACACCGTCATCGTCATCATCATCCGCAGCATCATCATAATCATCATCATAACAGGGACACCATCATGATCACCATCGTTCTCATCATTAACATTATCATCAACATCGTCATCATCCTCGGGACACCATCATCATCATGATCATCGCATCATCATCATCGACATCATCATTATCAACAACATCATCATCATCATTGGGGCACCACCACCATCATCATCATGAGCAACATCATCATCAACATCGTCATTATCATTGTTTTCATCATCGGGACACCATCAGCATCACCATCATCATCATCACCATCATCATTGTCATCATCAGCATCATCATCGGAACACCATAGTCATCATCAACCTCATCATCAATAGCATCATTATCGCCGGGACACCATTTCCATCAACATCATCATCACCAACGTCATCGGAATCATCATTATCATCATCATCATCGGGACACCATCATCGTCATCATCATCATCATGATCATCATCATCCTCATCATCGGGACACTACCATCATCATCGACACCATCATCAACACCTTCATCATATTCATCGGGACACCATCATCATCATCTCATCATCATCATCATCATCATCATTATCATCATCATCATCATCATCATCATCATCATCATCTCATCATCATCATCATCCTCGCGGGACACCGCGGGACACCGCGGGACACCGCGGGACACCGCGGGACACCGGCGGGACACCGCGGGCCCCCGGCCGCCCGGAAGGGAGTCATTTGGTCCGGCCGCGCCTCAGCCACACGGGACACGAGCGGGACACCGGCGGGACACCGCGGGCCCCCGGCCGCCCGGAAGGGAGTCATTTGGTCCGGCCGCGCCTCAACCACAGGAGACTTTCTCTCGCCCGCCCACGCAGCTTCGCCTCGCCCGCACGCACGGCACGCACGAACACGAAACCGAAATCGATTTCCCGGTAGGGGGGCTCTCCGTTCCACTTCGATCTCACCCCCTCACCTCCGATATACCGCATAGACCCGCATAGACCACCCTTCGGGTGATAAGGAGGTGAGGGGGGGGAGGGACCAACGTCGCACCCGATCGATCTCACGATCGAACTCACTACCGATCTCACAATCGATCTCAATCGATAGATCTCACAATCGATCTGACTATCGATCTCACAATCAATCTCACAATCGATCCCGCAATCGAACTCACATTCGGTCCCGCTATTGATCTCACAATCGATATCACAATCGATCTCGCATTCGATCAGACTACCGATCTCGCTATCAAACTCACTATCGATCTCATTATCGATCTCACATTCGGTCTCACTATCGATCTCACTATCGATATCACAGTCGATCTCGCATTCGGCATCACTATCGATCTCTCTATCGAACTCAGTTTCGATATCAGTATCGATCTCACTATCGATCTCACTATCGATATCACAACCGAAGTCACAATCGATTTCACAGTCGGTCTCATCATCGAGCACACTATCGAAATCATTATCGATCTCATCACCGATAGTGATCTCACTACTAACTCAATCGATCGATCTCACAGTCGATCTGACTATCGATCGCACAACAAATTCCACAGTCGATCTCACATCCGGTCTCTCTATCGATCTCACTATCGATATCACAATCGATATCCCATTCGGTCCCACAATCGATCTCACTATCGATCTCATTATCGATCTCACTTTCGGTCTCACAATCGATCTCACAATCGATATCACAAGCGATCTGACATTCGATTTCACGTTCGATCTCACAATCGATATCACTACCGATCTCACTATCGATCATCAAAATAAAACATCAGCATCGTCATCATCATCACCATCATCATCATCATCAATATCATCATCGTAATCGGGAAACCGACGGGGCACCGGCGGGACACCGCGGGCCCCCGGCCGCCCGGAAGGGAGTCATTTGGTCCGGCCGCGCCTCAGCCACACGGGACACCAGGGGGACACCGGCGGGACACCGCGGGCCCCCGGCCGCCCGGAAGGGAGTCATTTGGTCCGGCCGCGCCTCAGCCACACGGGACACGAGCGGGACACCGGCGGGACACCGCGGGCCCCCGGCCGCCCGGAAGGGAGTCATTTGGTCCGGCCGCGCCTCAACCACAGGAGACTTTCTCTCGCCCGCCCACGCAGCTTCGCCTCGCCCGCACGCACGGCACGCACGAACACGAAACCGAAATCGATTTCCCGGTAAGGGGGCTCTCCGTTCCACTTCGATCTCACCCCCTCACCTCCGATATGTGGTTTGGGAGTCGGAGACGTGGGAAAATATCCACAGGGAGCTGGAAAAACAGGAGACATACGAGAAAGAGGATGATGATAGCGATGATGAGGAGGAGGGAGCGTTGAGAAAGGAGGAGGAGGCGGGAAACGGAGGAGCAGGATCAATCATAGTAGCAGTAACAGTAACAGTAGCAGTAACAGTAGTAGTAGTAGTAGTAGTAGTAGTAGTAGTAGTAGTAGTAGTAGTAGTAGTAGTAGTAGTAGTAGTAGTAGTAGTAGTAGTAGTAGTAGTAGTAGTAGTAGTAGTAGTAGTAGTAGTAGTAGTCGTAGTAGTAGTAGTAGTAGTAGTAGTAGTAGTAGTAGTAGTAGTAGTAGTAGTAGTAGTAGTAGTAGTAGTAGTAGTAGTAGTAGTAGTAGTAGTAGTAGTAGTAGTAGTAGTAGTAGTAGTAGTAGTAGTAGTAGTAGTAGTAGTAGTAGTAGTAGTAGTTGTAGTAGTAGTCGTAGTCGTAGTCGCAGTAGTCGTAGTAATAGAAGTAGTAGTAGTAGTAGTAGTAGTAGTAGTAGTAGTAGTAACAGTAGTACAAGTATTAGTACGATTAGTCGTAGTAGTGGTAGTATTATGAGTCGTAGTAGTAGTAGTAGTAGTAGTAGTAGTAGTAGTAGTAGTAGTAGTAGTAGTACTGATAGTAGTAGTCGTCGTAGTCGTAGTAGTAGTAGTAGTCGTACTTGTAGGAGTAGTTGTAGTTGTAGTTGCTGTTGTTGCAGTACTTATGTATTAGTAGTAGTATTTGGAGTAGTCGTAGTAGTCGTAGTAGTCGTAGCAGTAGTGGTAGTCGTAGTAGTAGTAGTAGTAGTAGTAGTAGTAGTAGTAGTAGTAGTAGTAGTAGTAGTAGTAGTAGTAGTAGTAGTAGTAGTAGTAGTAGTAGTAGGTGGTGGTAGTTGTGGCGGTAGTACTAGTAGTAGTGGTAGTTGTGGTGGTAGTAGTAGTAGTAGCAGAAGCAGTAGTAGTAGTAGTTAGTAGTAGTAGTAGTAGTAGTAGTAGGTAGTAGTAGTAGTAGTAGTAGTAGTAGTAGTAGTAGTAGTAGTAGTAGTCGTAGTAGTAGTAGTAGTAGTAGTAGTAGTAGTAGTAGTAGTAGTAGTAGTAGTAGTAGTAGTTGTAGTAGTAGTAGTTTTAATATTAGTAGTAGTAGTAGTAGTAGTAGTAGTAGTAGTAGTAGTAGTAGTGGTAGTAGTAGTAGTAGTAGTAGTAGTAGTAGAAGAAGAAGTATTATAAGTAATACTACTTGTAGTAATAGTAGTCGGGGGGAAAAGCCATGCACCGACCTGATTTTCCCAAGATTGATCGGACCCCGAATGAGCCAAGCTCCCTGCGAAAGGGCGCATAGAGCATCAGTGCTCGCGCGCGCCCTCCAGGGCGTCGTGGGCGCTGTTTTTGCCTCCCTTAGAAGAAACATGCGAAGCGTTACTTCCAAGGCCCAGTGTGGCGCACCCATTTGCAAGAATGTGCAATCAGCCTCGGATGTCCTATTGAGTTTTTCCTCTATTGGCGAACCGCGTCGGTGCATGAATTTCCGTCTGCTTCGATAGGACGAGCCCATGCACCGACGCGGTTTGGGGGCTCTCTGTGGACAGGGCGACGGGGCCATCTGGGTTTTGGTGGGGCTGCCTGGTCCCCCGTGTACCACGTGCGCGCGGTTTGCGTAGGCATGCCCCGATTGCGGTGGCAGAGCGCCTGGGTTGCTTAGGGCCGCTGATATGAGTCCTTCTGGCCTCCCTAAGTGTTGTTTCTGCTTATGACAGCATTGCCTGACGCGGTGGAGCCACTTGGGACCATGCTCCTGGACGGAAGCTTTTCGCCTGAGTGAGGCGGAAAGGGGGACTCTTTGCCCCCGCTGCGCCACAGGCCGACGAGTACGCCAAGCTGGTGCCCCCCGCGGTAGCCGGCGAGGCCTCCCTGCACTGCGTGCTGCTGTGCCGTGTTGTGGGCGGGCGCGTGTGCGAGTGCACCACGGACAGCAGAGCCTCCCAACGGGCGCGGCAGCCCCGGCCTTCCCCCCCCCCCCGAGCGCGAGCCTCTTCTCCTCCTCCTCCTCCTCTTCCTCCCCTCCTCCTCCTCTTCCTCCTCCTCCTCCTCCTCCTCCTTCTCCCCCGCCTCCTCCTCCTCCTCCTCCTCCTCCTCCTCCTCCTCCTCCTCCTCCTCCTCCTCTGTTTCCTCCTCCCCCTCCTCTTCCTCCTCCTCCGGGCAGGCACACAGACCGAAACTTCGGACGCCCGCTGGCGGCTTCTGCGCCGGCGTCGGGCCCTGTGCTCGCAGGGAAGGGGTGTGTGCGCGGAGGTCCGGCGCCCTCGGAGGCACCGTCTGCGGACCTCCGGGGCGGCTGTGTCTGTGTTTGCGTGTGCCCTCCTGCCGGACCAGAGCAAGTCCAGTGCACCTTATTGATGTTACATGGCACCCTCCCGTGCCAAGTTCTCTCCGAGTAGGCCCGTGCAGGCATCCCGTCCACTGCGGCGAGCGCCTGCTGCAACGATGAGGTTCCTATGGGCCTCCCACTGGCCCAGGTCGCGAGAGGGCTGTTCTGCCACAGGTTCGGGGCCTGGGAAGACTGGAACCTTCAGACCCTTATGGCATCGATGGCCCTGCCGGAGAAGGTGGGCCTGGGAGGAATAATGGTGAGAATATGGTATGCTTACCTGTGCGGTAACTGGTCGCATTCGAAATCGAACTCGGAGTTCACTCCAAATCTATACGTTCGAGAGGGGGCCGGTTCAAACGGCCCACCCTGGTGTCAATCCAATCTTGATTTGGAAGGCAGTCTGCGGTGGGGAGGCGACAGTGCGAATTTGATATCGACCCACCCTCCATCCATGCATTGCGGTTGACTTCTGAGTTGCGTGGCCACAAGTTGTCAGGACCGTCTCAGGCCATAGGTCGATTTCTCGAACGGCGTGCTCTGCATCCGCGAAGATGCCGAAGCATCTTAGCTTCAGAGCCTCATATGATTGGGTAGTCTCAGTCGGGAGCGCCATCTTGCACACAGGTCGCCCGGCCATCAGTGTAACTTCTTTGAGTTATGAGTTCGCCGATGAGTTGATTCGAACATGTCAGGCGGGACACCCCGCCCTCCTTGTTGGCACGTCCAGCGGTGCGGCAAAGAGTGCTTCATCAGGCAGTGGGACGGACGATGATGAGGATGAGGGTGGGAAGGGACAGGAAGAGGAGGAGCAGGGAAGAACGGGCGAAGGGGGAGGAGCAGCATTGGACATCAGGATGACTGTGATGATGCTGATGCTGATGATGAAGGTGTTCAGCATCTTCCTCTGCCGTGTCTCTGCCGCCGCCGCCGCCCGCTGACGTTGCACTATAATGTGTTTCCGCAACTATAAACGTTTAGAGGACCAAGCTGGCACCGCGGGCCAGCTGCACGCGCGTAGACGAAGGGAGCGCGTCGGGTCGTCGCCGTGTCGTCGTCTGCCTTTCCCTCGCACACTTACCTTTACAGATCAGCTCAACGGATATACCCGCCACGTCGATACGGGAAGTCCAGAGCAGTAGTGATACTCATAATGAATCATTTTCGCACCCCACATTTGTTGAGGATGTTTTTCTTCAGGGAAGTACTTGGTTACCCGCTGGAAAAGCAATAGTGGATCCGATGCGCAGATGGCCATGGATGAACCTTTTGGCGAAATTACAGTTTGCAAGATCCGAAGGTTCGTCAAGTCATATAGTATCAGACTTGGTGGGCTAGCCATCCCCGAGAGTTCCTCCGATCTCGTTCATTTATGAAGCGTTCGTGCAAGTTCAGGGAGAAGCCTCGGCATTAGTTCAACCAGTCGCTCAAGGAGGTAACTTCGAACGCGACATCACAGCAATCGTGGATTGAGACGGCATCAGTTCCGAATTTCCTTCGTCAAAGGAGGCGACCACGCCACAATAATTTCGATGGAGCACGTAAGAGATGCAACCGGGGGAAACCCAGTGCCGAAACGACCTAAAGTACCAAGCGACATCAGCATGGAACAAGATTCGCCGATCCAAGTTTCCAGTTTAACTGGGAGCCTTCCTGAAGTTAGCACTTGTTCCGTGATAGAAGAAGTCGACTGGGCACCTGATGAAACCATGTTGCAGCCTTTGAATGATAGCCGTCAGGCCCTCATTTTCTTCACGGGAAGTCGAGGAACAGCCAGGATTCCCGTGACCCGCTGTCGGGTCGTATCTTGCTCGGCACAGGGATCGCGATGCCCGGCCACGGCAAAACACATTTTACGTCGGCTGGTAGGCTGGGGTCGTCTGCGCTGGCGAAAAGAGCTAACTAAACGGGGGTACCGTTGTAGCGAATTGGCCAACATGCAAGAGCGGGAAAAGTGGGACAAAAGGAGGCGGCCGCAGGGGGAGGGAGGAAAGGAGACGGCCGCTCAGGGGCAGACGGATCACGTCCCTGGGCGCGTTGGCGCGGCCAGGCCCGCCGGCGGGGACTGAATCGGCGTCTGCGGCGTGTGCCTGCTGAGGCGGGGCCCTGCGCGCGAACTGCAAGTCAAAACGGCGAGTAGCCGACGAAGCGCACGAAGAACCAGGTCAGCGTGCCGCGCCCCGCCCAGGTGACGGTGCTGAAGGTGTGGAAACTAAGGCTGCATCCTGATGGAGGAAAATTTGGACGGTCCGTGGCGTAAAGTTGGCAGAAGTGACGCTCCGTGCTTCGTCTTGTTTGAGGGCTCTGTTTGCGCAGATGTCCGAATTGCAGCGTCAACTGGCTCTGCTCAGATTGCGCTGAATCGACGGAACAGAATTGTCATCGGCTTGCCTTCGTCGCTTGGCAACAAAAAGAAGCTGAGACAAATGCCGCTGGGTAAAGGAACGTCGCGATCAGATGAATGCCCAGATGCAAGAACTCCAACGGCAAAAGGACGAACACCTTTGACATTCACTGGATGAAGAGGCCGTTGCAAGTTGGACAGCGGGCATAGCTAAGCCACCAGACGACGTTGGGGGCAGCTCAGTTGCCCCTGGTGGAAACTGAACGTAGCAAGAAAAATGTACATTCCTTTTGCCAAGTTAGTGGTGCTGGAAACGGATAAGAGAAGTATGGGGAAATGGCCGACAAGGAAACGCAGATGTGCTACCAATTGCAGGCTGCCGAAGAAGCACCAAAGAACTCTGAGCGAAAGGTGGAATATGTCCTCCAAGAGAGGGCGGCTCTTGCAGGCTGCCGAAGACGCGCCAAACAACTCTGAACGAAAGGTGGAATATGTCCTTCAAGAGAGGACGGCTCAGGCCGCTGCAGTGGGACGGCACGTCAAGGAGGAAGCGTCTGCCGCGGTGCAGCAGGCAACCCTCTGTGAGGATGAAGTAAGACATGGCCAGGATTAGCAATACTATAGTCAGACAAAAAAACAGGCGCACGTAGACCGAGAGGCCTTGCAAGAGACTCGATCTCAGGATGCGCTAGCTGAGCGAAAGGGCCTTTTGAAGTTACAGGTTCGCTTTGTGGTGCCCTGCGGCGTTGTCTCAAACCCAAGTTCAGCCTTCGCCGATGGGAGAACATGCGCTTGCGTTGCAGGCCCAGCCCGCGACGCCAGGGCAGCCGGACAGCCTGGCTCTGGGGTTGAGCCTCCGATGCAAATTTACGTCCGCCGTCGCCGAGCGAGGTGGCCACGGCGCTAACCGTAGCGGAGGGTCATGCAGACAGAGATACCCTCCTTCGAGTAGGGCGACCGCGAATGATTGCAGCCTCGGGACGTTTGGCGATCTGCCAGTCGGCGACTTGGACGGGCGCGGTATCCTGGCAACGTCCACGACAGCAGACGCGCTGATGATAGTAGCGATGCTGGTGGCGATGCTGACAGCGATGACGGCGCGGCCAGTGACGGCGCCGATGCTGACCGCGACGATGTCGGCGCCCTCGCGTCGGCGATGGAGGTTTTGGAAGGAGTTCGATCTGTGCGCGCGGCCGACGCGCGAGAGTGGCCCGCGTGGCATTATTTGACACGGACCAGGGCTAGCTTGGCAGAGCGCTATGAACACATTTGTTTGGATAAACAAGTAGTAGTAGTAGTAGTAGTAGTATATATATAGATGTATATATATATGTATATATACACGTTTTTTAAAAAGTATGACAATCGGTTTCTCAAGGATTCGCCAGAGCGCGAGCCCGAAGTTCTTTTGAACATTGATGTTGGAAGATAATATGGTTCCGGGGCACTCGGTCTTGAATTCCTTGCGAAGCCGGTGGTGCTTGAAGGCTTTCGGCACGCGCGCGACGACGCGCGCGCGCACTTCGTTGATTCTTTTGTAAGGGATATCTGAACACAGATGGTTTTGATAAACGAATGCGCGCGCATATTATGCGTTGCAGAGGATGACGGGGTGGGGTGGGGTGCGGTGGGGTGGTGGTGGTGGTGGTTGGGGGGGGGGGCGATGCCGGTTCCTTTGGGTTTCGAGGGTGCATTTTTTGGGATGGGCGATAGGGCGCAACCATATGCAACTTGCAATGCGATGGGCGCGGATAATCCAGGGGGGGGGGGAGTTCTTCCTGTTGTAGAAAAGTTGACGCATTCCACGCGCGCGCAAACGGCCCGCCCGCCCGCCCGCGACTTCGCTTGCAAAACCCATGCGGCGGCGATTGCCGCGCGCGCTGGGCGTTGGCAGGTGCATCTCCGCGGCCGCGCCAGCCCGCGCATGCGCGCGCGGGGCGGCCAGCTAGTTCGGCGCGACCGACGCGACCGCGGTGGCGCTGACCGCTCGACACTTCCCAGCGGGCAGCGGGCTCGTCAGTGCGAGTCGGCGACTTGGGCGGGCGCGGCGTCGTGGCGACGCCGACGGCGGTGGACGCGATTATAAGGGCAACGACGCTGGTGGCGATGCTTTCAGCGACGACGGCGCGGCCAGTGAACGCGCCGACGCGTCGGCGATGAAGGTTCTGCGCGGAGTTCGACGCGCGGGAGCGGCCGCGCGGCGTCAATCGCACCCCGCCCCCCCCCCCCCCCCACCCCACCCCGCCCCCCGCGCGC